ATTTCACAAGATTCAAAATGTATACAGGACCGGTAACGATCCGAATACATTTAAACTGTTCGAGGAGCTCGAATGGATATGGATGGGTGAGGCCCCTTTTTTTTTTTTTTTTTTTTTTTTTTTTTTTTTTTTGGGGGATTTAGTTTTTATTTTAAACAAGGTACACATTCTATTTTTTGTTAAAGGGCGACGGCCTTGAGATATTATCATTGAGCTGACAGGCCCCAGGCACTTCATTAGTAGCTGGTTTTACTCATCACGTTCCATCATCTGGATTCGAACACAGGTCTTTATTTCAACAGTTCAGGGATGTACCCACTGAGCTAGGCTCTTGGGTAACAAGGTACACATCCAATTTACTCATGAAACGGATAGGGGCCTGCCTCACCACATAAAGACGGGACTGTAGCATTACCCAGCTTCGCTTTTTACAGGACCCATAGGGACCCCATTTATCTCCTCCAAAATTCAGTCCAGACTACTATAGAGCCCTACCAAAACCAAGGTACACATTCAATTGACTCATGAAACGGATAGGGGCCGGCCTCCCCACATAAAGACGGGCTGTGAGCATTACCCGGCTTCTCCTTTTACAGGACGCATAGGGACCCCATTTATCTCCTCCAAAATCCAGTCTGTTAAAACTGATAGAACAATGGCTCTATTGCCCTTTCTCCATCCAAGCTTGGGAATGGTAGAAGGAAAGATGGAAGTCTATAGCCTGTAACGAGTTTGCATGGTCCCATGAATGGTCGTTATATGGCATGGCTCGCCAGGGGACGGATTTTGGGCTGGGCGTATGTGGCCTTAGCCTCTCGAGGACCTATAATGGAAACCCTGTGGAAAGCCCGAAATAAGGCTACTTTTTTTTTTTTTGTTTTGGGACAAGGCTCCAATCTATTCGTGGGGATCAGGACGTGCTGGGAACCGGGCCCAGCGGCCCATATCGAAATTTACATGGAATTTTGAAAGTTTAAGATACCGGGGCCATTACCCGGCTTTGGCTAAGACGATTTTGAACGACTTAGAAAATTACTACGGCAAACTTCAGAAACAGGGTCTAGCCACAACAAAACATGCCACTACAGAGGTCCTACAAATGCTCAAGACCCTGTGTATCCCTAGCAACCCTTCTAAACCTTTCCCACACTGTCTTACTCCCTGCCGGGCTCTTCCAGGCCTCACACCCCAACCCTGCTGGGTTACAGGGCAACACGTCTCACCCCAGCTCCGACCAGCGTCGTCCCAGGAGCAACCCTTGGTTGTCCCTTGGAATGCCCACCCCAAAGCATCCCCAGATCTCTCTACCAGCCCTTACACTCCTGCATCAACAGATTACAGGGCAACACCCGAGCACCGGCCAGCGTCGTTCTAGCATCGAACAGCCGCAGATCACTGAGTATATCCACAATGGAGCCATCTAAGATGAGTTGCTAGGAATCCCCAGAATTGTAAATCATTCCTAAGACCCCCCTTCACAACCATGAAACATCCAACCAAACCTTGGATCTTTTTTTGGTAGTTTCGTGAGAGCTAAACTAAGAACATACATGAAACAGTCTGATCAGCCTAAAAAACAGGAAGAAGAGGAAAACGAAATCCACCCATGATCCAGCTCCTTCCCCGCACCGCAAAGGAAAGTCTACTGCCCAGGCATTCAGTCCTCGTACCAGAACTCGCTAGATCTCATACCCCCCTTGCTAGGGTGACAGGACAACACCAACTGCCCCCGTACTGACCGAACTAGTTCTGGCGGACAAGAAGTGTCTTCCTCCCTCGACAACTTCCTTAGCTTCCCAGCCCCCAAAGTTACAGGGTCACCCCTCGGCATCAGCTACGTTGAACAAGATGGTTATGCCTTCCACCCTCGGTAGCTCCAATAGTTTCAAGCTCCTCCTGGTTACAGAGCAACTGCTCCAGCACCGACCATTGTCACCCCACCCCGCCCTTCTAATAGACCTACCACCTTGAACACCAATCCGTCCGCTGCCCGAGCACCACCCTGCTAAAACCAACCTACCCCTTCCTGCTTACCGAATAACTTTTTAAGAGTTCCACTAGTACCTCCGCCAGTGTTGGGAAATTACGATGTTTTGCCAGTTCCCGAAGTTATCGGGGGTGGGACACAGGGCCGGCACTATCCCATAAATCAGATTTTTATATTGCCCGCGAGTGAAAGAAAAAGGAAAAAAAAAAAATGTTATTTTTACTGCAATGATGTCGGTCAGGGTAGTCTTGGAGGCCGTGCTCATAGTCTTCCTCCACATAATGCACCTCACCGGTAAGGCGGTCACATTCTGGATGTTACTGTTTTCTTTTTTTTCTTGCTCGTGTGTTTCTTATAAGTCCCATGCCAATGAGGCAGGGCGGAATCCGTGAATTGCTCAAGCCGTCCGTGATCTACTCAAGCTATGTTTTGTCAGAGGATTGTTATACTCATCACAGTGGTACTAAGGGGAATGTATCCAGCCGTTTTCACGTCCGGATCTGTGTGCCCGTTTTTTCCCCCTTCTATTCTCTTTTTCGAATCTGACAACCTGGTCACGGGGCTGAGATGCCCTCACTGAGGACACACTCACTCTATACAACTGCAATCACGGCGAAAGCTTTGTTTCGTTTTTTTTTTTTTTTTTTTTTTTTTTTTTTTTTTTCCGTGAGAGTACCAGAAAGAAAACGGAGTGGTACCCAGGCTCGGCAAACTCGGAGCGCAGTGAAATTCAGGGTCGACAAAAAACAGGCTCGGAGGTACTAGTGGTTTAAGGCGTGTGATGAATTGGGTGACGATCACAGGGTGTCAACATCGTTTGGCTGTCAGTCTCAGTCTGTTGTAGTGAATAATGAAGATTTGACGGACGTGGGAGCGGCGATCCGGGCGCTTGCTTCGGAGGTTTTGTTGACATTCATTTCCCAGTCTTATCAACAGCCCACAGAAGATAAAAAGGCATCGTCATCATTATTT